CAAAAGTCTAGCCAGATTTGAACGGCGAGCGCTGGAGTCCGCAGAGCGCCCCGGGAGCCAGGCGCCGCGCCGATCAGCCAACGCCTTCTAGCACGACAGACGGCGTTCCGCTACGCCACGCCACCTCAGCGCGCATTTCCGCACTTTATAAACATGTTCTGAGATGAACTCTCTGTGTCTAAGAACTAACCTGCGTATTAGTACTTTGTATAGCTCTGGTCTACACAAGTCTGGACTCGCGCTGAGGTGGCGTGGCGTAGCAGAACGCCGTCTGCCGTGCTGGAAGGCGTTGGCTGATCGGCGCGGCGCCTGGCTCCCGGGGCGCTCTGCAGACTCCAGCGCTCGCCGTTCAAATCTGGCTAGACTTTTGACGCAACTTTTGGTACCACGGCCATCGGTAGACCCTCCCCTACAATTCTAGACCAATGCGGGGTCTATGCGATAAATATTGAGGCGGCTAGATGTCGCAACGTGCGGCAAGGCGGCAGCGGCGGGGCAGAGAGCTTCCTGTCCCCTCTCTGTAGTCTCTTGGCTCCAGGACGCACAGCTCGCCCAGCAGCAGACGCCGTGCTCGTACTCACCCGGGTGCTTGAGCAGCTGCTCCAGGTACAGCTTGTCCACGCACAGCTCGCCCAGCAGGCGGCGCGCGGACAGCTCCTCCTCGTCGCGGCTAGAGGCTGGCGGGCTGGTCGTGCTGGTGTAGCTCCTGCTCGAGCGGCTGCGCGCCGAATTTGGCGCCAGCGGCAGCGCGGCGGGTAGCGTGGCCGTGGGCGAGGGCGGCCCGGGGCTGGGCGAGGGCGCGGGCGAGGGCGTGGGCGAGGACCCGGGCAGCAGCCCCGGCACCGGGGACGGAGTGTGGCCCCGGGGCTTGGGGCTGGGCGCCGAGCTGCGGCGTCCGGTGCTCGGCGACACCGGGTGCGTCTTCATCGAGCCCTTGCCTCCTGCAGGAAAGACTGCGTGTTAGTGTCATGCAGCTCCGGGGTGGGCCTCGCACCACCACAAAGATACAAACAAGTGAATTGTTCGTAACTTTGGTGACGTTTTCGACCGACGACCAGGAGAAAAACTTGAGCATTCCGAGAAGATATAAATGTGAGGATAAGGTAGAGCAAATTTGTGTACCATGCCGGGTGTAAAGTGACACTTATTAAACATATCGTGGATTTGTGGTAGGTGACAAAGTATGAAATGAAGAATGAAGTCTGTCGAGATTTCGTATTTAAAACTGGCATGCGACGAACTTTGAAAGTAATATCGTTTGATACCTTGTTTAAGTAAAATGCAATCTTTGATGTTTTTACAATTCTTTAGTGTTTGATGTAGAATCGTTTAAACCATGCTGTGTGTTGCTTTTTAAAATGTCATCCGTAGTTATTTTTCTACTTTAGTCGTCATATTTCGTGTGTGTTGATGCAAAGGTAACTGCTGTTTTAGAATGAAGTGCCTCGTCAAATCATGCGTGTGTTTCTGAACAGAGTACCTGACCGGCCAGATCTGGCTTGCTCCATTGCCTCCATTATTTTGCAACTTTCCTCGATGCCCGCTGAAAGAAAGTTCTGGTTAGGGAAGAAGAAGCAATGAGAAGTAAACTGTAAGCTTTAGGGCGCGCGCACACACACACGACACCGCTGGTATCGAAAAATGATATTCAAATTGTGTGGCGTCTCATTTCAAAGCCTCTGGTAATTTTTTTAATTTACACATCTTTTACCTTTACCCAATCCGCGAGGATCTGGGAAAGGTGCCCACAAAACGCCTCAAAAAAATGCGAAATCCTCTCTAACCCCCCAAAAAAGCACAGGGGCTGACATTCCGGATCGAAAAGCGAAAATAAACAACAACAGAGGTTGTCCTCTAGAAGACTCACTTCCGATGGTGTTCTCGATGGCTTCCTGCGCCTTCTGCACGCCCAGCCGGAACACGGCCAGCTCGGGTCTAAGGCGCAGCCCACGGTGGTAGTACATGAGGCTGTGCTCGAAGTCGCCCATGTGGTACAGCGCCTCGGCCTTCTGGAAGATGGCTGCGGGAGAGGCACGGCGTCAGGCAGAAGCAGGGTAAACTCTATCCAGTATTGAACACCGGTTCGATACATCGAACATCAATAATATCGTAAGATATCGACATTACATCGCAATATCGATCGTTACAAAATGGAAGCCGAATATCATTTTCTTTATCGATGGCTCAATTAAGTCAACGTCGGCTCAATTAAGTCAACGTCGGTAATGGGACATGGCCCTGAATATCAAGATGGTATGGTGGGCGCCGACCAACGGGGGCAGACCCACCTCGCACGTTGCTGCGGTCCGGGCCCAGGGCGTTCTCCGCGTCCTGAAGCGCGAGTCGCGGCTGTCCCAGCAGCAGGTAGCACTTGCTGCGCGCCACCAGGGCCGTCTTGTCCTCCGGGCAGAGCTGCAGCGCCTGTAAGGTAAGGTAAGAAAAACAGATATTATAAAGATAAGTGATCATCCAGAAAGTACGTCCGTCATTTGCCGGTACGAGCCTGCCAAGCGTCTGCCTGCACGCTCTCATGACGCCTGGTAGGTAGGCAACACCAAGCATGCGCGCACTGCGGGCTGGCCTAACCCGATTCTCACAGGCGCCGAGCTCGCGCAATTTACCCGCAATGAATCTGAGAAAGACGGACATACTTTCTGGGCGACCCCCGAGGTACGGTAAGGTAAAAGGAAAGGTCGGATAAGGTAAAGAGGTGTAAGGTAAGTTGAGGCTAGGTAAGGTTAAGGTTACGTTAGGTTAGGTCGTCACATGCACTCATGACACGACCCGCTGTGTTGGTGGCGCAGTGCGTGGTTAAAAAGGGGTTACAACGAATGAAAAAACACGGGCAGCGTTCGCAGAAAGTTTTGTTCTTTTCTCGCGGATGTCGTTGACCTTGTTGACGAAGGCGATGGCGATGTCGGTGTTGCCCTGGCGCAGCTCGTACTGGCCCAGGGCGAGCAGGGTGCTGCCGTCCGCCTCCTCGGGCAGCTGCAGCGCGTGCACGCGCTCCTGGTGGCGCTTCATGCGCAGGCTCTGCTTGATGTCGCGGTGGCCCATCTGCACGGCGGCCGCCCGGTCCTTGTCCGTGTACACCTCCTCGCCGCGGATCACCTTGCCGCGCCGGCCCTTGGCGCCCTTGCGGCCCGCCGCCGCCAGCGCGCCCAGCGCGCCCAGCCCGCCGTACATCTCCAGGTCCTTGACGACCTGCGGCAGGGAAGAGAGAGGAGCTCGGCGTCAGAAGGGAGATCGGCGCCCCCCGCCCTCCTACGCCCACGGGTCTCTCGAAGGACCACGCCGCACCGTTTTGCCGACCGCGATCGCCGATCGACTGCGGCGAGGGGGGCGGGCCGCGCCAGCCGCGGTTATGCGCCGCTGACACGGGCCGTGTGAAACAGTTCGGTTCCTATTGTACGGCCCGGCCCGGCCGCGCCCCGCCGCGCCTCGCCTCCGGGACATGCTGTTCTACAGCTCCGTGATGAGTCAGTGAAATAACGGAGTCTTATCCATGATTGGGTTAACAGCTATGAATCACACGTCGTGCGTATACAACTCCGAGTTGCGTAATACACTCCGTGAAACGTATAACGGTTGTACACGTTTGTTGCACTTTACTCACCTCCTTGAATGTGGCCTTGTGGTGGCGGCGGGAGGGTGGCTCGTCGTGGTTCGCCCGGTCGACGGCCTGGCCGCGGCCTCCGGGGACGCCGCCACCCTCCGCCTCCGGGCGCTCGTCGCCGCCCTTGTGCCCTGGCGGGCCCGGACCGGGCCCCGGGCCCCGCGGGCCATCGCCGGCCTCCGAGTCACTGTCGCCTGCGGTACGGGAGGAAGGTCAAGGTGTAACATGCGGGTCACGGCCAATAAGGGGCAAATGCAAGCTTGCATCAATGGTTCTGTTTCTGTCTCACCATGGTCCACGCGCAGGAAGCTGTGCAGGAACTCCGTGTCCCTGCTGATCTTGAGGATGGACCTGGCCTGGTCCGTGATCTTCACGTCGTCCTGGACGGGCGCGTCCTGGCCGCCGGGGCCCGCGTCGGGCACGAGCAGCCCGCCGCCCCCGGGGCCGCCCCCCGCGGGGCTGTCGGCCATGGCGCGCGCCGCCGCCGCCGCCTGCTGCGCCGCCGCGCCCGCCGCGCCCACGCGCCCGCGCTGCGCCCAGCGGGTCGCCTTGACCGCCCCCGCGCCCGACCAGCTCGCCCCGCGGCTAGCGCGAGGCCTGCTGCTCCGAGCCGCATGGCGCTGCTCCAGCGGGTGGCGAGGCCGCCGCGGCCGCCTGCAACACGGGCACCAGTCAGCCTGGCGCTCGCACGGGGTGCGTGCAGAAGTGCAGCGGGCAGCTGACAGCGGCTAAGCTAAGCTAACTGGGTTCTACTACTTGTTCTGCGTGCACGTGGAGCTGCCCGCGTTTTGAAAAGCTATATTATTATCCGGAAGTGAGGGGGTGGTTGAGACACCAGTGCGGTTGCAGGGCGCTGTTGTCGGGGTGCTTCCCCGCCCCGCCCCGCCCCGCTCCGCCCCGCTCCGCCCCGCTCCATAGCGTGCCGGGTGGCGGTCCGCTTTGCCGCATAGTCGGCGGGGTGCTGCTACTGGGGACGGCGGCACCGCCGCGCCGCTGCAACGACCTCACCCGCGCCTTAACGAGCTTCCTGGCCGTGGAGCAGGCAGGGCCGCGAGGTGCTGACACGCCCCTGACAGGGCGCCCCGCCCCGCCATTCAGCTCACGCACTAACCACCCCCACGGCATGCCCCCCGGCCCCCGTGACAACTGCCACCAGAGGCTTTAAGGCCCTCACGGCAGCCACGCCGCTCCCTCGCTTGCAGGAAATTGTGAGGACATAACCTCCACGGCTGCTTCCGCGGTCATTAAACGCGGCGCCGACTTTTTTATTTTCCCGCTTGCACGCCCGCATGCTGGCGACAAAACTTTGCGCTGCCGAAAAGTAGACCAAATCACACGCGAGTAAGAAAGGGAGAAAGGGGAAGGAAACTAAACATGCGTGAGGTAGGAATGGAGTCGGATCGACTTCCTCCCTCGAGTCGATTTCTCGATACGCGGTGCTGGGCGGGCTCGAGGTGTTGATGCCCCCCCCCCCCCCCACCAAGCTCGCCTGCCGTCTCTCCGAATAATACCGGAGAAATGGATTGCACGGCGCCCATCCATTCTATTCCGTGGAAACGTGGGAGTGAAGGGGGAGGGGGCAGGGTAGGCAACCTCTGGCCCTACACAATGATGACGACAAAACCTAACGGCAATCTTCGAGCAGAAATGTTTGTACGTTGGGTTGGTTTCTTACAGTGTACGCGCGGGCGGGTTTACTAACTATTTGCGTGACGGGCGGGGCGTGGGACTTCAGTACCGAGTAGCGACACGAGTGGCAGAGCTTCCTACACAACGAGCAAGCAGCAAAGTGCGGCGCAGAGGGAAAACTTTATCGCTCGAAAAATAGAAAGTCCAGCAATCCCCAGCCCCAGCGCGCGAGCAGGCGCGCAGAAAGCAAAGAGCATGGCGTGACGATGGCGTGACGGTGGCGTGAGGAGCGCCCCTCACTCCCACCGCGGGGCCCGGAGCACGACCCCAACGTCACTCGCCCGAGGCGCCTGGCGCCTGCACGCGGGGCGTCGCCGGAGAGAGAGAGGGTGAGAGAGAGAGAAAGAGAGAGAGAGAGAGAGAGACCTAGAGAGACAGAGAGACAGAGAGAGAGAGAGAGAGAGAGAGAGAGAGAGAGAGAGAGGGAGAGAGAGGGAGGGAGGGAGGGAGAGAGAGAGGGAGAGAGACAGAGAGGTAGACAGAGAGGTAGACAGAGAGATAGACAGAGACAGAGAAGACAGCGAAAGAGGGAGAAGGGGGGGGGGGCGAAGGATGTCGCGCCCTCAGTATAAAGGCAAGACGACGAGGACTACTGACATAGCGAGCGCTATGCGCGCACGGTGCCGTATAACAAAACCAGCCCGCTACCGCTCGTGAAATATTTCGAGCAGTGCAGTCGGGAAAAAGCATATATGAGAGACGGCAGAGGGGCGGAGGGGGGGGGGAGATCTACAACAAAAATTATGGAGCCGAATCCCCACGGCGCCCGGTGCAGAGTAGACAACGGAGAAGCACCCTTAGTTGTCACCAGTCACCACTGCTGGTGCACAACCGGGACCGGGCCACGGCGGGCGGGGAGAGCCGTGCGCACAGACGCGCAGTCAGGTTGCCTACCGTCACGGCGTCCCGCCCCTGCGAGCACCCTGCCTTGCCCTACACGCACTTCGCACTTACGCCGTGAGATTCGATTTTGTGAAAATACAGCGGCGATTAATTTGTTCAAAATCCGTATTTAACGTGTATACCGGTGGGTTGCGGGTTTTGCACACTACAACGCTCTTGTGAGGAGTGAGGAGACGAACCCGCAACACTGTGAGGTGTAATTCTCCGTGACATCCAGTAAAGTGTTACGGTGCATTTACAAGTCGCACTAGTACTACTACAACTACAGTACTTCTACTACTAACACTAAGAAAGCACGGCAAGGAGAGGACCGCCTCCGCACCCTGCTGGGAAAGATGCAGAATTCGAAAAAGCCAATGAAACCCAACAGGTTAATTTCGAAAGTAAAACAAAAATGCGACTTTTTTCTAGACAGAAAAACAAACAAAGTGTACAACTTTGGCCTTACGTTGGTGCTGGCGAAGGGGGGCGCCCGGGCCCTCAGGAGGGAGGGGCTGCTGGGGAGCGTGGCTGTCTCCTACAAAACAAGGGGACCATCGAGCACTTATCAGCCGAGCAAGATATTGACCAAAACTATTCTTACTAAAAAAAAGGAGGGTGAGAATATCATAAAAACTTTTTAATTATATTTTTTAGTTCGGGGAGGGCGGTTGCAGACTCGTTGCACGGTCCGATCCGAATGCACTGCAGTGTGAGGTCGTGTTATGAGTCATGCCGTACGATTGAAGTCCACGGGAGGACGCTAGTCACCGAGAAATGCACAGCTACCAATCACTATAAAGTAAGTACTTCAACTATTCTAAATTTGAATTGCATTTGGAATTGGGCCTGTCGGCAGGCCACCCACGGCAAAGGGCTCTTATCAAACACTGAAAATGCTCCGTATAAAAGTTCAAACAAAGTCGGCCACGCGTGGTGCGCCGGCCTGGACCCGGGGCCCACGACGCAGACCTACACAGAGGACGGCCCCCATGGCGGCGGCCGTGTTGGCTAGCTGCAGGCGGACCGATAGGACGAGGACAGCGACGGGGAGCTTGTGGGGTGCGGCGGGAGCAGACGCCCACCGTTACGGGACGGCTTTGACTTGCTAACTGACGGCCCGGGGGGCTCGTCGGGGTCCTCGGGGGCCCTGGGGGAAGCGCCCTGCCCGCCCTTTGAGCCCTATCCAGTCGATCACGGCCGTCACTATAGTCACGTCACGTCACGCCATCCCGTCTATCGGCTGTCACAATTACCTGGCGCTTGACGGCGGCCCGGGCCGGGACGGGGGCGGGGGCGACGCCGTGGTTGGCAGCGGGCGGGGTTGGCAGCCCTGGGCCGGCCCTGGCCGCCCCTGGGGTGTCGGGAGCGTGACGCCCGTTGGCAGCCCGTTTGGCAGCCAGTCGTTGGCAGCAACACTCTGCAGTGGCCGCTGCTCTTCTGCGGGCCCCCGCGTGGCCCCCCAGGCGCTCTGCTTCCCCCGCCGGGGGTCCCTGAGGTGGGGGTGACCCTCCCCCCTCTAGTGCGTGCCAGCAGGGTGGCGCTGCAGGCCGCCCCCTCCTGGGAGGCTCCGGGTCGCGACCAGGGCCGCAGAGTGACACCTCCCCAAGTGCGTGACACTGCTGGTGTCCACCAGGGGTCCTTCACCATCAATGCAAGCGTACACCGATTTTTCTGATTTTCTCTTATTTTTCTGTGGCTTCATGTCCAATTTTTCGATTATATTCTCTTAAATAATGATTTGTTATTAAAATTTCCTTGATTTTCCTTATTTCTACTTTTTTTGTGGGGTGTAAACTTGCATAATTTCTAGTGAAATACCCATAGAGTGTCAAGAACAAGTTGTGGGACAAGCTGGCATGCACCAACTGCAGGGTATAGCGGGGCTGACACTACAGCTCAACTAACAGCTCACAGCGTGCGATTATGAAGGGCGTTTCTTCTTACCTGTGCAGCATCAGCTCTGTCTGCTGCCCGGTCTGTCTTCGAGTGTCTCTTCGTCTCCGTCGCAACGGAAAACCCATAGCGCGGGGCTTCAACACGCACCCGGACACGGCAATAAGCAGCCGTGTTGAGCAAGTGCTCCGATAAAAAAATCATTTACTTAACTATTTATAATAATTAAGTATTTGGTCGCTCGCGAATACGGAAGCAGGCGGGATGTATCCATCTCATTATATGATCTTACTTTTTAATACGTTCCATGTAAATAGTTCGAACACGGTTATTTTTCCGTCGCTTCAGGCCGGTGCTAGTTTACGGCAGAGTACCACCTCCCACCGCCCGACGGGGGAGTCTCTCGTGTGCCGTTTCACTCTTCCACGACTCGACCGCGGCGCGGCGGCGGTGGCGACGCGCCCACCGGTGTACGCCGCGGCGCCCTCATCGACCTCACGCTCGAGCTCACGACTCACATGTCGCTTGCACGCGAGCAAGCTCCCTCACCTCACCCCCTCCCTCCCCCCCTTCCTCACTCACTCACTCACTCACTCACTCACTCACTCACT